ACCTGCAAGTGGAGAAGGGGCCTGGGAGGTTTGAAGATAGGATATGAAGGCGCTGTCTAAGGAAGGAGAGGGTGAGACGTGGACGGTTGGGAACAGATTGCTTAGCGGAATGAGTGCCTGTTCAGGTCTGTGGTTCTGAACTGAGAGCAAAGCCAGTTTTGCGGAGTGATCTTCTCCGGCCGCATGTGTCCGCCGTGGGGAATGCAGAGGCTGAGTCCTGCTGAGCGAGTAGGAAGGAGATGGGGCAAGGAACCTGCTCCACGGTGTACCACGCGGGCTGTGCTGCTCACGGGAGACACAGCTGTCAGGACGGGGATTTCTCTCCTCAGCCCCCTCCAGTGTTAGCTGAGCAGAGAAGGCTCCGGCCAGAGCAGCAGTGGTGACACCCAGTGACCACTCCTTGAAGTGTAACCTCTTGGTTGTAGGTGGTGAGCAGATCCTGAAACAGCCTTGTTCATATTTCCCCCCCAATGGTTTTTATTCTTTATTTATTAAAAAAAATAAATCTTTATTGTTCAGATTATTACAGGTGTTCCCCGCCCCCCCCCTGCCCAGTTCCCCTCCAGCTGATTTCCCACCCCACCCCATGCTCTTACTGCCCGCCAGTGTCTTCATCCATAGCAGCCTTGTATATTTAATGGCAGTGAAATAACCAGGGGTGTTCTGCTCCACTGGGGAGGCACTCAGCCTTCCCCGACTCCCTCCACAGGTGTCTCTCACAGGACTCTGTCCCACTGGCCCTGAACTCTCTGTGGGGAGGGAGAGGCTGCTGCCAGCTGGGTAACTGGGAGCCGAGGTTGGGCGCTGAAGGCAATCTGGGGCTGTTAGCTCAGAGCTGGGTTTCTCTGCTCGGTTCCTGTTGTGCTGGGGTCTAGGACAAGCGACCTAGGACGGCTTTGGGCAGTAGGATGGGTTTTTAAAAATACATTCTCATTATTGATCTCAGAGAGTAAGGGAAAGGGAGAGAGATAGAAACATCAGTGATGAGCCCAGATGACATGGCTCAGGGGTCGAGATTCGACCTATGAACCAGGAGGTCAGGGTCGATTCCCAGTCAGGTCACATGCCTTGGTTGCGGGCTCAATCCCCTGTGTGGGGTGTGCAGGAAGCAGCCGATCAATGATTTCTCTCATCATTGGTGTTTCTATCTCTCTCTTCCCCTCTGAAATCAATAAAAATATATTTTTTAAAAAATATGTATTTCTCATTATTTCTTACTCTGACATGGTGCCTAGTTTCAGGTGTTAGTGTTAGAAATTTACGCCAAGGTAGACTTCATACATTTTAAGGAGAAATAAAAGAATTTCAATGGCAATGAAATCCCACCCAAGGCAGGGAGCTCCTAGTCACTGGGGGCTCCACAGAGGCCAAGCAGCAGCTGATGTCCTTTCCTGGGCTGAGAGCCAGAGTGAGGAGGGTACGAAGCACACAGACGGGGCTTGGAGTCAGACAGACTTAGCCTCACACCCAGCTCTGCCCGTTACTAGCTGTGGCTCCTCTGGCAGGTCACCGAGCCCCCCAGATCCTCCGTGTACCCCGTGCAGACAGCTCCTACCTCCCAGAGCTGGTGAGGCCCCTGGGACAAAGTAAAACTCATTCATTCAGATCATTCAAAATCAAATATTTAGGGCGCATATTATGGGCTAGGCACTGGGCTAGGTGCTGGGTGACATTGCACATATTCAGACAGACAGTTCTCATTTGGATCCCACTTACAAGCTGTAGGAACGTATTTCACGGCTTTGAGCCCCAGCGACCTCATATGTAAAGCAAGGGAGACTAATGCCTGCACTAAGGGATTATTGTCATAATTATGGACTCCGTACAAAGTACTCAGCATAAAAGTGACACATAAAAAGTCTAAGAAGTGGCAGTAACTGTGATTAACACAATCCTGCTAAAACATTAAAAGGAGGGGATGCTGGTGGGCCACATTTGCAGCTGGAGACCTAAGTGACCTTTCCTTATTGAGGACATTCAATCCATTCTTGAAACAGCCTCCCATGCATTAAATAAAACATGGATGCTCTGGGCAGGTGGCTAAGTTGATTGGAGTGTTGTTTTGTACATCAAAAGGCTGTGGGTTCAATTCCAGGTCAGGGCACATATCCAGGTTGCAGGTTCAATCCCCTGTTGGGGTGTGTACAGGAGGCAACCGATCGATTTTTCTCTCTCACATCAATGCCTCCCTCTCTCCCTCTTCCTCTTTCTATAAATAAAATAAAATAAAATGAAACAGCCTCCAGGGAGGATTTAAATAAATAAGTGAATGAATGAATGGATAAATAAATAAGTTATGTGACGTTACTTTCCCCTATACACACCTGCTCACTACTCCCTAAATACTTAATGCAAGAGAGGCTCTGAAGGGGGAGGGGGGTAACATAGAATGGGCAAGACAGGAAGGCTGTGAAAACTGTCTTGAGAGCTCTTTCAGACGTCTTTTGAAGATATTGTCCTTTTGCAAAAATATAGTTTGCCTTGCTCTAGGCACTGCAGTGGCCCCCGGGGAAATCCCTGTTTATGGTCTCTGTGTCCATTGGACCAGCTGCCTTGACTTAGAGGAAATGTAAACTTGACCTTTGTCCCGTGGGGATCCTGGCCCCACCCTGAGCTGCTAGCTGCAGCCCTTGTTCAGCCTTCTTTCTCCCAGCTTCCCGGTCTTGCTACTCGCTCAGGCCAGCCCCAGCTGCTCTGAGAGTTTGCTGGCTTTCGCTCCAGCAAGGGGGATTGGCTTCCCATGGTCTCTATCTACACCCACAGCTCTGAGAAGGCCTGCCACAACCCCTCCCCAGCTGGCTTCTCCTTGGAAAGCCAAGCACCAGCCTATAGAAAGGCCTGAACACAAAACAAGCATGCACTCACAAATCCGGGACTTAAAAATGTGACTCATTCAGGTCAACCTTCCTTTCTTTCCAATGCGGGTGCCTTACGCCTTGCCCTCTCTGCATTCCTCCAGGAGTCTAACCCTCTGCCACATCCTAGCAGGCTTCCGGATGTTGGGAATGGGCCTAGAGGTCCTATCCCCACTGTAGAATGACAGTGAAACAAAACTAAGCTTTATTTATTTATTTATTTATTTATTAAAACATATATATTTTATTGATTTTTTTACAGAGAGGAAGGGAGAGGGATAGAAAGTTAGAAACGTCAACGAGAGAGAAACATCGACCAGCTGCCTCCGGCACGCCCTCCACCGGGGATGTGCCCGCAACCCATGTATACGCCCTTGACCTGAACAGAATTAGGGACCCCTCAGTCCGCAGGCCAACGCTCTATCCACTGAGCCAAACTGGTCTCGGTGCAAAACTAAGCTTTGTTGTCACTTCTTTCACAAGTGTTTAATGAGTGCTTATTAAGTACTAGGCACTGTTCTAGACACTGGGGGTTGGCCGAGAAGAAAATGGTAAGGTCCCCCATCCTCATGGAACTTATATTCAGGAAGAGGAGGAGGAATAACCAAACATGTAGTGCATTTTCAGGTGATGATGAGTGCTGTTAAAAAACACACGTGAGGGCCGGGGGAGGGTGGGTCATGGAGGTGATCAGGGAAGACTTCTCCGAGGAGGTGACTCCAGGCAGGCACTCGGGCAAAGGGAGGGAGGGAGGGAGCCATAGGAATAATGGTGGCAAAGCTTGCAGACAGAGGGCACAGCATAGCCCTGAGGATGCCAAAGAAGGCCCTCCCTTTTTTTTCTGTGACATATTGTCACGAGTTCTTTGGAATTTTAATTGTGAGGGAATACACATAACGTAAACTTCACCATTTTAAAGTATACCGTTCACCCACATCAAGTCTCTGTGCAACCATCACCACCATCTGTCTCAGCCCTTTTTTCATCTTCACAGACATAAACTCAGTGCCTACCAAAATGAACTCCCCTTTCCCCTCTCCCCCAGCCCCTGGCTGCCAACATCCCACTTTCTCTGCGATGAGCACTTTGAATGCGTCATCTCATTTAATCCTCAAAACAATTGTAGGCTGTAGGTTTAACTGCTGTCCCCATTCCACAGATGGGGAAACTCAGACAGAGGGAACTGCCTGAGGTCACTCAGCTATGGTTTTCCTGGCTCAGGCTCCCGCTCTGCCGCCCATCTGACAGCCCAGAGGTGGCCCAGGAGCAGCTAGAAAGGGTTATGAGCAGGTGAGAGGCTTTTCTTGCTAGAACAGGAAGGCTTGTTGCACCTGTCTGGCCCTAACTGTCCTGAAGGAAGGGACTGCTGCCCAGGAACATGGGTGGGGGTGGAGCTAGCATTTTCCTGGCCTGCGTGTTGTGGGCTTCGGTGCCAGAGAGTTCACTCCCGCCCTCACCATTTACAAACTGGGAGCTGGGTACGTTCTCCTTCAAGCCAGATTCCCTTCCTTGCAAACAGCATCATGCTGGCTTTCCAGGGTGGGTGAGAGCATCGAATGAGATAAGGCACGTAAGATACCTAATAGTGTCGGAGACGTAGTAGGTGCCCAACCAATGTGCACTCCTGGCCTGGACAAAGCACAAGCTTCACACACAGGCCAGGAACCAGCCTCTTGGATCCTCCCTCCGGGCCATGCATGCATCCTGCTGTTCCACTCATAGGATGCTCACAAGTAGCCATCATCATTTTACAGACGAAGAAACCAATGCACAAGGAAGTGAACTAAACTGCCCACAGCTAGTGAGCGGGGCAGATCCAGGATTTAAGCCCTACAGTATGCAGCAACGACGAGTCACACTGCGCAAACCGCTCCTGCTCTCCAGCCCCCACTGGATGGCCAGCCTGGGTGGGGGTTGGGGGAGGCAGGGACCCTCCCCCTTTCCCCCAACCCGCCTGCCGGGGCCTGGCCTCCGCGGGGGCGCGAGGACCGCTCGCTGGGTCTCACGGTGACTGCCTCCAGCCGCCCCAACCCCGGCCCGCCGGGGGGCCTGGCGGCGACAGCGGCGCCTGGCAGCGGGGGATTTGGCCGCGGCCGCGGGCCCCCCTCCCTCCGCGCCGCTGCCGGGGGTTTGGCCGCGCCGGGGGGACTTATCTCCCTTCCCTGGGACAGCCCGCTCCTTCCCGGCATGCCCCGCTCCCAGGAGCCGCCCGGATCCCGCGCCCGGACTTTGCCATCGGCGGGGGGCCGGCTCCCGGAGCGCCCCGGGATGCGTCGTGCAGCCGCAGCCTGAGGTGGGTGCGCCCGCCGCGCCGGGCTGCGGGAGCGGGGCCCGGGGTGGGCCGCCCAGCCCCTGGGGAGGGTGTGGGGGATCGGGGCGCCGCCTGGGGTGCGGGGAGCCCGCCTGGCCGCCGCTTTGTTGCGGCCGCGGTGCTCGCGCGGGCGCAGACTTGGAGGAAGTTGGAGCTGCGCGCCCGGGAGCCCCGCGCGGTGCGCGCCCAGGCGCCGAGGGTCCCTCCCGGCCTCCTGGGTGTTCGGGGTGGCCGGGCGGAGGGAAGGAGGTAGGGGCTTGGGTCTGATTTATCCTTGGGGGGTTTAGGACTCACCAGCGGGGAAGGGACCGAAAGAGACAGACAGACAGACACAGGGAACTACCCAAGCTACACAAAGAAAGAAAAACTCCTCTTGAAACACAGAGGAGGAAACACACACAAAGAAACACGCATGCAGACAGATCCCCGGGAAACACGGCAAAAACTCACGGAGCTCATACACATTCCCAGAAACAAACGCACAGGCAGAGAGGAACAAAGCGGGTGGACTGGGAGGCCATGGGCAGGGGGAGGGGAAAGGAAATTCGGAGAAGGGGCGAGACGGAGGGGGATTGGGAACGGTCGCTGGCGTGGAGAGGAAAGTGGAGCGGGGGTTGAAGAGGCAGAGAGAAATGAGGGGGAGGGAAGAATAAGACTAAAGGAGATAGCACTCTAGGAGGGACAGTATAGACACACGTCTAGAGGAACTGAGGCAGACCCTGAGAATTAGCACCCCCCTCTCCCCCCCCAATATATAATCCGAGATACAGAGGTGGAAAAAACCCCAGCCATCTCACCCTGCGGGCAAGTGAGTTCCCGGTGAATGGAGAGTAGCTATGTGAGAACTCTGAGAAAGACCTCCCTGGCACTATTGAGCCACTCAAGTCTTCACCTTGTCCACCTTGGCAAACTCCTATTCATCCTTCAAAACCCAGCTCAAGCATCACCTGCCCTGTGAGGAAGGCTTACCCAGAAAATGTCATGCAATCAGTTACTCTCTTTTTCGTGTATTTCTGCATATGGCACAGGCATGTGGAGCTGAAGTGGTTTGTTGGTCTGCCTACCTCTTCCCCTGGCTCTTCAAGGTTTGAGGTCCATGTCTTAATTTCTTTCCAATTTCCAAAAGCCTAGTGCTTGGTACATAGTAGATGGTCAATAAATATTTATTGAATAACAACCAGGAGCACTTGGACCCTTTAATAAAGGGAACATAGAATAGAGGACTCCTTGAGAATCCTAGGTCAAAGCATCCTTTTTTTTTTTTTTTTTTTTTTTTTTTTTTTTTTAATGAAGAATTAAATCCAGAAAGGGGAGAAGACTTGGGGACACAAGCAGGAAAAGACCATTGTGAATACGTACTTCGAGACATTCCGTGTTCCTCCAGCCTTATGTGTTTAAAACAGGTGTGAAAGAACCTCCTGAATGAAAACAACCAATAGCAACCACCAGTTTAATACCAGCTATACGTTTCCGAGCCTGAAACGGACCACCAAAACTTTTTCTGGAATAGCTAGACTTCTCTTTACTGTGTAGAAAGGAAAAGGGAGGTGAACGCTCACCTCAGCTCACGTGGCTGGCTTTCTGCCTCCCGACTGTATAAACTTGCACAAATGTCTTAACCTCCCTGAACCCCAGTTTCTTCAACTACAAATGGGGATGTGAATACCTGTCTCATAGGGTCGTTAGAAGAGTGAACACACAGCGTGCCTAGCACGGAGGATGCCTACAGCATACACACCCGTGCCCTTCTCTCTCTGAAGTGGCTGCTCTTCCATGCACCGGTTGTAAATGTGAAGACAACAGTGCGAGTGAAAATGTTTCCTGTTGTCTCAGGACAGAAGTCCACCCTGGTCCAACTGGGAGCACACTCTTTGTATAAAAGAAAAGGCAAATCTGGGGTGTGGCATAAAAATGCATCTTGATTCTGTGGAGGCCTTCAGGTCTCTGCAGGTGACGTGGGGCAACCTAACTTCCCCCTCCCAAGCCCCTCCTCCCCCAGCAGGTAAGACCCCACTGCCCCATCCTTTTCTGCACCTTCCTTACCAGGCCTGCTCTGCCCTCTATCTTTCAAGCTTTAAAAGCACTTGCCGGGAATGTGACCGGACCTGAGGGACCACCAGAAGCATGGAGACTGTGGTGATCGTTGCCATAGGCGTGCTGGCCACCATCTTTCTGGCCTCGTTCGCAGCCTTGGTGGTGGTTTGCAGGCAGCGGTACTGCCGACCTCGACCCCGGGACCTGCTGCAGCGCTATGATTCCAAGTGAGTGCACCCGGGGAAGGGCTGTGCCATGGGGATCCCACAAAAGTGCAAGAAGTTGGTGCTGGGCACCTGGCTCAGCTTTTTGGCTCTGCAATGGTACCTGCAGGCTCTCCTCCCCAGGAAAGACCTCAGAGCTTGAGAATGTTCCTAAGCCCCCAACATCCTAAGCCACCTCTGACTCTGTCGCCAAACGAATGAGAAAGCAACTCAGCATGGTCACCTAGCATAACGGTGGGTCCGTCTGCACAAAACGGCCACCTCACTCAGCATTTGGACAATCCACATCTCTTTCCAACTAAACTCATAGAAAGAAATCCGATGCCCACATGTCTAACCAGCAGACATTTGGTGTGAAATCCCAGAATAGGCCTCTCTCTCTGCTCAGATTTTTTTTTTCTTATTTTTTTTTTTTTTTTTTTTTTTAGTATATATATCTATTTTTTAGTGTATTTTTATTGATTTCAGAGAGGAAGGGAGAAGGAGAGAGAGGTAGGAACGTCAGTGAGGAGAGAGAATCATTGATCGGCTGCCTCCTGCGTGCCTCACACTGGGGATCAAGCCGGCAACCCGGGTATGTGCCCTGATGGGGACGCGAACTGTGACTTCCTGGTTTATAGGTTGATGCTTAACCACTAAATCACACCGGCCGGGCTCTATAACTTTTCTCTTGTTGTTTTTGTGCCTTGCTTGCTCCTTGATTCACTGTCGAGCCATGTGCCCTGCCTGTCACTTCAGTCCCATTAGCTCAGGTTTGGATCCAGGACAAGCAGTCCTGCTTGACTTCACTCCCGTCAGCCTTTGGGGCGAGGGGGTATGTGGGCCTCCGGGTGGAGGGGTCAGCAGCAGTCGTCCATCCTGAAGCCGCTTCCCTGGGCTCTGCCTTCCAGGCCCATTGTGGACCTCATCGGTGCCATGGAGACCCAGTCGGAGCCCTCTGAGCTAGAACTGGACGACGTCGTCATCACCAACCCCCACATCGAGGCCATTCTGGAGAACGAAGACTGGATCGAGGATGCCTCGTAAGGCCTTGGGGAGGGCCTGCCTTCCTGGAGCCCCTGGGGATGGTGGGAGGGACCCCCCTGTGCCCTTTCCTGGCTTCCTGCCCCTGAACACTTGACTGGGTCTGCTCTTCCCCTGCTCTCCTGGGGAGGGAAATCAGAATATGACATAACAGTGTATGTCTGGGACTCACTCCCACCCCTCAGGTTGCAGACCTGAGCACGGGGCTCATAGGTGTGCCAAGAGTTGTTATAAAGTCACGCTGAGGTGCTTGGTTATCCTTGGGGTGCCTTTGGGTCTGACAGGCAGGCTCTGGGGACGCAGCCTCTGTCCTCCGTGTCCTCAGGGATCTCCCTGTCCCACAGGAGCCATTCCATCCCCCCATCATTGAGCCATTCACTCACCGGGCAGGTGTCTGTCTGTGAGGCCACGTGTGCAGGGCCCTGGGCCAGGCACCGTGGATGGAGACAGAGTTCTAAGGACAGTGTCTCAGAAATGATGGGGGTCACTGTGCACAGCCCAGCGGGTGCACGGCCAAGGCGGTGTCTACAGTTGCCTGGGGTGGGGAGGCGAGGGTGGAAGGAACAGCTTCCGAAGCTCAGAGCACGACTTGATTGGTGGGGAGCCATGATTAGGTGTGGGGGGGGGGGGCGAGGAGAAGGTTAAGGACAGAGGGGCTTCCTTACCAGCTCCTGGACTTGTCCATTCGAACGTGATGAGGCATCGCTGATCTTGGGTGGTGCCCGGGGGTGCAGAGCTAGGTGAGGAGCTAGGTGAGGAGCTAGGTGAGGAGCTAGGTGAGGAGCTAGGTGAGGTGCTAGGTGAGGAGCTAGGTGAGGAACTAGGTGAGGAACTAGGTGAGGAGCTAGGTGAGGCGCAGCGGTGAGGACTGGGGGGAGAAGGGCCTCTAAAGATAAGCACTGACACACTCTTCTTGTCTCCCCAGGGGTCTCATGTCCCACTGCATTGCCATCTTGAAGGTAAGACTCGTGGATTGCTCCCGGAGATAAAGGGGGTGTTCAGCAGAGCACTCCAGTGCACAGCTGGTGGAGCAGCCTTAGGAAGGGCACAGAACCCTCGAGGAGGCCTTTGAGCCTGCCTGAAGCCTGGAGGTGTGGCAGTGTGCCTCCACTCCTTCAGGGACAGTCTGGCATTCTGCAGAGGCTGGGGTGCACCTGCTCCTCCTGGCACAGTGACGTGTGGGAAAGACCACGTGGGTAGTTACCAGCCACATTGTCACCCGCCGTGGACACAGCTGTGTGCCCGAGGCTGTGTAGCTGCTGAGGGGGACACGGGGCTTCCCACCTTCCCCTGGGCACTTTCTTTAAAAAAAAATAATAATAATTTTTATTGATTTCAGAGAGGAAGGGAGAGGGAGAGAGAGAGCAACATCAATGATAGAGAATCACCAATCGGCTGCTTCCCGCATGCCCCCCACTGGGGACCGGGCCCGCAACCCAGGCATGTGCTCCCAACTGGAATCGAACCCATGACCCTTCAGTCCGCAGGCCGATGCTCTATCCACTGAGCCAAACGCGCCAGGGCGTGGGCACGTTTTTTTGTTCACAGAGAACTCAGCCCTGTATAGTGGGCTGGGTTCTGTAACTGGCTTCTCCAATACTAGAAAGCCCGTCACTGGCCCTCTTTGGTGATGACAGCAGGCAGACAAATGGGACAGTCAGTGTTCAAAAATCCAAACCACAAGCACTTCAAATTGAAGACAGATTTTTTTTTTTTTCCTCCTTAAATGTCTGCAGCCTCCAGGACCGGGTGAAAAATTGCACCCAATTTGCATTTTGGGTAATTTTTATAGTTTCAGCATTTTTTTTTTAAATGTTTGCCAGACACGATCCTGCCTAATAGGACCATAGTAATGTTGAAATACTTGTCCGTTGGTAATAGTGTTGGTTCCTTCATATCTGTAACTGGGGAAGCCACACATTTATCTTTATCTAGGAATTATTCAGAATTTCAGAACCAATAGCTTCATCTTTGCTTCAGCGTCTTGTAGTGTAAGATATTAAAACACTTTTCCTCCCGTCTCTTCCTCCGCTGCCTCTCTCGAGGGACAACGAAATGCCTAGGAGGACATTGTTGTCACCGAGTCCTGGCTTTTTCTGTAATTCCAAGAAGCTCTCTGGGTACAGATGCGGTTGTAGACAGAGATAGAGCAATAATGGCCCTGGCTTTTGTCTCTTCCCTTGCCTATTAGTGGAGGAGGACAGTGGCCTCTGAGGGAGAGGATGAGTCAGCCGGAAGGAGTCTTTTGTTTATTTATTTGTTATTTATTTTTATTCTTTATTGTTTATGGTATTACATATGTTTCCTTTTTCCCCCACCCAACCATCCCGGCCTCTCCCACCCCCAGCACATTCCCACCCCGCCCAGGGTCTATGTCCGTGTCCATTGGTCATGCTCATACATGCATGCAAGTCCTTTGGTTGATTTCTTACCTCTCCCTTCCTCCACCCTCTGTTCAATGTTTCTCTGTCTCTGAGTCTATTTTCGTTCATCAGTTTGCGTTGTTCATTATAGTCCACAAATGAGTGAGACCATGTGATACTTATCTTTCTCCGACTGGCTTATGTCATTACGGAAGGAGTCTTACTGGGTTGGGATCAATGGTCCGCCTTATGACCTCAGCTCAAAGGAGAGGCTCTCACCTTCCTGCTGAGATTCCAGGGTCATTTTGCTGTGGCCACCTGCCCCTGAGTCCCTGTGGTGGGGGCTCCCCGGATCTCTCCTGGGTGGGTTCTCTCCTTGGTGCCCCCTCTTTTGCAGCCCCAACATAAGGCAGGTGATGGAACTTCCTTAGAACCATCCAGATTCTACCATCGGGGAGGTGCGGGAGGGGAGACCAGGACTTTGGGGTGGCCAGCGGAGTTGGCGGATAATGAGAAAGACACGAGTCTTAGCCACGCCTATTTCCTGCGATTTCCCATGGCTCTTGCAGCACCATCCAGACAAACATGCTAATGTGTCCCCTGGAGAATTGATGAGATACGTGGCACTTTGGGTGGATGTGCTTAAAGGGAGCAGGTGTCCCTGGTCCAGCCAGATTCTGGGGGTGCCCCGTGGGAGACTAAACCAGGAGGTGAAGGAATAGAAAGAGAAAGAGGGTGTTCCCCCTCACAGGAGACGGTGAAATTCGAGCGCATGATTTTTCTTAGACAGATTAGTTCAGTTTAGATTTCTCTACGCCCAAACCCTGACCCTGAGCTGAGGTTCCCGCCCCTCCCTCCTCACCGGGCCCTGTTCTCAGCGTCAGCTCTTCCACCTCATTTCCCCTCCTTTCTGTGTACTTTGCACGTCCATTTGACCATTTGGATTAAGGGGCCCAGCTGTGGGATGGGACCCAAGGCCGGGGTCCTTTTTGTCTTTGTGGGGGTGGCAGAAGCCGCTTGGGACCTGGGTCACCCCTCATCACCTCTGTCCTCCTTGCTGCCTTAGATCTGTCACACTCTGACAGAAAAGCTTGTTGCCATGACAATGGGCTCCGGGGCCAAGATGAAGACTTCAGCCAGCGTCAGCGACATCATCGTGGTGGCCAAGCGGATCAGCCCCAGGTGAGCGGCCAGGCCTTCGCCCCCACACTGCATGGGGGCGGGAGGGCCAGAAGTGGAGTCGGCCGGAGGGGCCAGGCTTCTCTGGGAAACCACACAGGCCACTTTAGTGATTTACGTCCTGAATACCCGCAGGGCATCCAGCTGGGGTTGGGTGGGGAGTCTTCCAAGCTAAGATGTTACACGCCGTCTCCTTACATCCAGGGGGCTTTTTGGGAAATTCCAACTTATGACGAGTGCTGACTCTTCTAATCCACACATCCCACTGTGGCTGCCCCTATTAAATGTTTTTTAATAGATTTTCAGAAGAAGAGGAAGAGAGAGGGATAGTGAGGTAGAAATATGGATGAGTAGGAAACTTCATCCATCAGCTACATGCCCTACTGAGGATGGAGCCTGCAACCTGGGCATGTGCCCTGACCGGGAATCGAACTGGTGACCTCTTGGTTCCTGGGTTGAAGCTCAGTCACTGAGCCACACCGGCCCGGCTACCCGCTCCTTCTCAGTCCCATTCCAGCCCGGGCTGCTTTCCCCCTCTTTGCCTTTGTCCCAGGCTTCGGGTCAGTAAGCACATTTCCCGCAGCCCCATCTGCTGTGACCTCATGGCCTCCCACCCATATCTGTACTGGAGACTAGTTCGGGGGTGGCTGGCACCCACTGCTCCATCCTTGGCCCAGCCAGCAGCCTCCAGGACCGAGTGGGAGGTGAGGCTGTACATCACGGGGCTCTCCCAAATTCCAAGCATCTGCGAAATCCCATGTGGGAGGCAACCAGCGGATTGCAGTCAACAGCTACACACACACCCCCCTCCCCTGTGGGCTCAGTTTGGTGAAGAAAAATTGCCCTTTTCTTAGGAGGGCTGTGCTAAGTTTGTGCTGCCATCTGGTGGCTGGTATGTGGATGTGCCCGAGTGGGGTGTTGTCCCTGTCCAGCCACATCCCTGGTGGGAATGGTGCCTTCTCCCCCAAGTTCCAGGGGCCCCTTTGCTCTCCTGGTGGCTGTGGCCTCCGGTGAATCATGAGGAGCCAGCCCTTTGAGGGCATAGGAAGGAGTTGGTGCACTTGAACTCTGTCCAGGGAGTTCAGTGTGTTGAGAGAGTGGGAGGGACTCCGCCCAGAACCGTTCTTGGCTTTCTGTGGAGCTCTCCCCAGTGGGTGCGGTCCCAGGATTTATATCAGCCGAGGTTGGCCCTTGGCCTGAAGGGACCTCAAACCAGGCTCTGGGCAAGCCCCAGACTATCCAATAGACTCCCCATTGCTCAGACCTGCTGAACCTCTATCATGTGCCCTGTCACTCCTAAGAGTCCCCCAGGGGGCCTGACGGATTCATGTGGGACCAGGTTAAGAGGCAGCATTGCCAGGAGGGGTCTGAGGAGGAGAGAGATGAGGGTTCTGAGGATGAGGCCAGGGCTGGGTGGTCAGGAGGAACGGTGGTGCCAGGGTGTGGGTGTGACGTTGCTCAGAGGGCGGGCTTGACCTGGTGCCTGCTGGTCCATCCTACACAGCACCTCAGACTGCTTCCAGAACATTTCCACCACAAGTCAGTCTGAGTCCTTGCTTTGTCTTGTTGTCCTCGCATGTCATTCTCCTCTGTCTGGTTCTGTCCGGTTGTTTTTCTTGTTCCGTTTGTCCCACGTGGTGTGTTGGTAGCATCTTAGTTTCAAAGGGCATGGCGTCAGGCGCCATGGAGACAGGCCGGCTGGGCAGGGGCGGGAGTGGCCAACCCTCTGCATGTTCTCACCAGCCCCGTAGCACCCCCTCCTTCTCTCCCACCTCCCCCCGCACCCCCTAGCCCCAAGACCAGAGCATTTAAGGACATCTATTTTCAAATGCGTTTAAAAATCAGATAATACATTGTTATTTTTTCCTTCCTGATTATCACATGATCAAGAGCAAAAATTTGGAGCAAGGCCTTGTACCATGCAAATCAGAATGAATAGTTTTGTTTTTTTCCCCCTGAACTAGATTTAAAAAAAAAAAAAAAAGTTAACCACAAGCCCTACCATGTGTTAAAAAGAAATACAGTGGAGCAATTCCCCCCTAAATTAAACTTGTAGGGTTTTTTTTTTTTTTTTTTTTTTTTTTTTTTTTTTTTTTTTTTTTTTTTTTTTTTTTTTTTTTTTTTTTTTTTTTTTTTTAGTGTTCTATAGAACCTTTAACCATGTGTTGTTGTTGTTTTTTCCAAACACAAAAATAATAAATATCTGTAAAAAGAAAAATATTGCAGATATGGATTATCTAGAAAGTAAAATATCCCCTAATTCTACCCCTTCCCAGTTCCTGGGGGTAACTGCTATTGGTTAGCGAGTATCAATCCAGACTATTCTTCTCTGCATTTCGTGGCTTTTATTTTTATGCAAATGGGATCCATCAAACTCTACATATGTTGGGCAGTGTGTCTTTTTAATTTAGTAGTGTATCTCAAACATCATCTCAGGTGTCGCACCATGTACTTTTCATGTCATTGGAACTAAAACCAAACCAGAAAACATAATACTCTCTAAACTGAACCTGAAGTCTTCCTACATCTCAGGCGGAGAATGCCCAAGCCGTTAGAGAAAGAGCCACCAAAGACTTGGGTATTTAGAGAGAAGAACTGGGCTAGGAAAAGGCAGAGAGGAGGGAGGGCGTGAAGGCGCTAAGGAGAGTGAGACACTGAAAGCCCTGTCCTCCCCTCAGAGTGGACGACGTGGTGAAGTCCATGTACCCGCCGCTGGACCCGAAGCTCCTGGATGCACGGTGAGATGGCCGCCCCTCCCTCCATGCTGCGGGCTCACGGCTTGATGAGATCTGTGTGGCCTGCTGCTTGGGTTGTGGGGAGAAGGCCATGTTGCTGGGTTCCCGGGCTGTCCTGGGCCTTGGGTACCATTCAGTGCAGTGAGAGTCAACCAACCAGTGAGCCACGCCTGGCTGGGGGATTCTGAATCAATGAGGATGCTCGATGTGGGGCGTGGATACCCTCTCTCTAAGTGGGTAGCAGCGGGATGTGCTCATCCAATTGGCTAGATGCAGGTTGTCCCATCCTACTCTCCTCTGGAGCCTTGCCATTGGTGAGCAGTGGACAGTGGGCACCACAGTCTCAAATAAGCTAATGAGACACAGCGTATTATATTCTCACTAGAGGCCCGGTGCATGAATTCATGCATGGGTGGGGTACTAGTCGGCCCGCTCCTTTTGAGGCCAATCAGGGCCAGGCCAGCCAGGGGCAGGGGCCGTGGGCAGTTGGGTGGGGCTGATCGGGGGCCCCGATCAGGCTGGTTGGCTGCCCCAGTGTGCATCATAGCGACCAATCATTCCATCTTTCTGGTCTCTTGGCTTTTATATATGTTAAAGGCTTTGAAAGCCTTCAAGTAACCTTGTTTAACTTAGCCCTTCCCAAATTTGTCTGAGCATCTGTAAATTGCATGCTCATCCACCTCCCAGGGAAGAGGCTCGGTTTGGGGAACAGACTATAGACTTCAGACCAGTTGGGCTTTGGCACCAAGTTCCTTCTTTCTAGGGGGACCTGATCCTGTTGTTTTTTTTCTAGGACAACGGCCCTGCTCCTGTCTGTCAGCCATCTGGTGCTGGTGACCAGGAATGCCTGCCACCTGACCGGGGGCCTGGATTGGGTGGACCAGTCGCTGTCCGCTGCTGAGGAGCACCTGGAAGTCCTCCGAGAAGCAGCCCTGGCCTCCGAGCCGGAGAAAGGCCCCCCGGGCCCTGAGGGCTTCCTGCAGGAGCAGTCAGCCATCTAGTCCGGCTGGCCAGCCGCTGACCACAAGGGCCTGCTGTCTGCTGTCTGCGGGCGGCCCGGCTGAGCCGTTCCCTTTTCCCGTCATTAGTTCCGCACGGCTCGGGGGCCTGGCTGTGTGCGTCACCCATCAGGAGGGCCCATGCATTGATGCCTCCGCTGCAGTTGCAGGTGGTGGCTGGCGAGTGGCAGTCTGACACCACAGTTAGGGGAGACGCCATCCACTATCTGCCCAGCAGCCCTCTGAGCACAGGTGGACTCTAACCTTTATGGGGCTCACCTGGTGCTTTTGGGGAACTCACGCCACCCTCTAAGAATCAGGAGGTTTTACATCACAATCAGCATTTCCGGCTTCCCTTGAACAATCAGAAGGTGAGGCAACTCTGACGTGCATTTTCCAAAGAGGACAATCAATTGGAACTAAGTAGGAGTAGCCTTTTTTTTTTTTCAATCCTCACCTGAGGATACTTTTCTATTAATTTTTAGAGAGAGAGAGACAGAGAGAGAAGCATCCATCTGCGAGAGACGCATAGATTGGTTGCTTCCTGCACACGCTCTGACCGGGGCCAGGAATGGAGCCTGCAATCGAGGTATATGCCCCTGACCGGAATCGAACCCGGGACCCTTCATTCCGCAGGCCGCAGCTCTATCCACTGAGCCAAACGGTTTAGGGTGGGGTTGCCTCTTTTTGCAAGACTTGTGCTCTCTCACCTGGTCTGTTTCATTGGTTTGTGTTATCTGCCGGTTCCCTGAGGCACCCGAGTCCCTTCTCCCCTGCACAGGTGTGTGTGTGAAGGTGAGCACCCCAGAGTTGATTATTCCCTTTTCCTCATTATGCCTGTAATTTGACCTCGTTACCACTAGGTGGATAGTAAATGCATACTTAGGTTTTTCTCAAGTGCGTGGTTATTGAGTCAAATTCAAGTGCGTGGGGGACGTATTTGTCCGAGAACCGAGGGCGGAAGGAGAGAGCCTAGGAATCCTCGGCATGCTCTGTGCGTGTGACTCAGTGAAGTATTTCAACGCCCTGAGTTCACATTAGCAATGATGTCCATGCAGGACGTGCTCCGTGTGCTTTGGACATCGTTGTGTTTTGTCAGTGTTGAAAGGTGAGGGGCGTTTTTATGACTTGAGACCCGTGTGAGGCAGAGAATCACAGCTGCACAATCCAGACGCACATCCTGATTGCGCCATTTCCAGCACGAGGGCAGGGACTTCCTGAAGTACTCTGCTTCCTCCCAGGTCCTCAGAGCCAAGCTGGCTTTGGGGGCAGGGCCCGGCTTGGGGGCTGCCTTGGTTCACGTCTGATGCGGTGAAGCATATTCGGAACTCTGCATCGGTTCCCGTGTAACGTTCTTTGCCCTGACTCAAGTCAGCAAACCCCTCAGCCTGATTCCGGACAACCAGGAACCCATATCCCCAAGCCCAAGATTTGGGCCTTGCTTGTCCTTGAGGTGAGTCATTGGGTCCATTCCATTCTTCCCTGGAGAGCCGGATGCGTGTAACCAGCAGAGTTCTCACCTGGGGAGATGGCGTTGGGAGAGGGAAGCTGGAACTCCACTCTCATGGGCTGAAGGACGGATTCTTTTTGTTGTTAATCCTCACTCTTATTTTTCCATTGATTTTTAGAGAGAGTGGAAGAGAGAGAAACATCCACGTGAGAGAAACACATCAGTTGGTTGCCTTCTGCACAAGCCCTAACCAGAGCTCGGGCCAGGGAGGAGTCTGCAACCAAGGTACATGCCCTTGACCAGAATTGAACCTGGGACACAGTGGTCTGCAGGCCAGTGCTCTATCCACTGAGCTAAACTGGCTAGGGCAAAGGATAGATTCTTGACCACAGGGGACACCTTAATGGATGGCCCATTCCCATCAACTCGGACTGCATGCTATATGGTAGTTAACATTCCTGTCCTGCTGGTGAGCTGCGAGTGGGAAATGTCCACAGAGCCACTTGGACTATTCCTATTTGTGGCCTCCATAAAAAGACACCCATAATCCTCCTGGTTTTGTTCTTTTCCCTCCCTTTCAAAACCTGCCTTTATAACCAGACTGGAAACTCATTCCTACTAGGCTCGCTATGGCTGCTTCAGTTGTAAATGTCCCCTGCACCTAACCTGGACCAGAGCCCTAAGCCTAAGAGAAGCAACCCTGAGTTGACCTCCCAGATACCATCCACCAGGTGTGGGGCTGGAGGTGGAGATGTTTCCCCTGAAGTGACCCCCAGGGTCACCTCTGAGCCCTGGCGAGTCCCAGCACACCTGCCTCCTGAGGCCTTGAGCTGCCCTTTGTGTGGTGAGGAGAGTTGGCCGAAGACAGAGGAAGTGTGTGCTAGATGGCAGGACCCCTGCTTCCACTGCTCTGTAGTTTTTTCTTTCATCTCCAGAGCAGGAAAAATTAAAGGTCTCTGGATAAGGGTGGTGTTGAGGTGGAGCACCAACTGCTCTCTGGGAGTTGGCGGAAGTTACTTCCTCCTTTGGGAGGGCTGGCTGGGGAGCACCTGGGATCTAGCCAGGAGGTTTCCGGGAGGACAGACACACCCTAAGTCCCTCGTTCACTAGTGCCTATGTGCACAGTGGTAGAGCTTTTCTCCCATGACCCCCACCCCCTCTACCCTGGAGTGGGAGCATCAGACTAAACATCAGACTAAGAAGGAATTAGGACAGGATTTGAGTGTGAGAAGAGTAAGATCTTTGAAGTAAGGCAGAATTAGGGTCAGATCTGGGCTCAGTTGTTTACTGTGGAAGCTTGAACACGCGACTTACCCTCCCTGGTCCTTGGCTCTCTCACCTGGAAAATCAAGGCTGCTTCCTCACTGGGTTGGTATGTGAATCAATGAAAGGGCATATGAGAAATGTCCAGTTGTGTGCCTGGTACTGACTAACCAACATTAACCTTTCTTTCCACCCCACCCCACCCCCGCCCTGTGCCCAATGCAGCTGACCCAGATCCATCACCAAGGTTACCATGGCTCTGTCCAAGCAGGGGCTTTGCGGTCAGATAGCCAGAAAATCTGGAATCACTGCAGGAAGGAGAGTGGCCCAGCGTGTCCCAGCCCCACCCCACGCTCAGGACAGACAAAGCTCTTAGCCTCTTATCAGGGCTCCCGGGGTTGATTGCTCAAGTTGCATTCCTGCAGCGCTGGGCTGGAGCCTCCTCCAGCTTGTGAAACCTCCCCAAGGGAGCAGCATCCAGCTCACCCCGTGCTCACCCCGTGCTCACCCTGTGCTCACCCTGACCTGCCTCGTTCCAGGAGCGGCTCCGCAGGGACTCCGTGTGCCCACAGGAGCCTGATCCTTAGAGAAGGACTTACAGTCCAAAGCCCCTGAGTTGTTTTATGACATTACACATTTTAGGAAGATGTCAGATGATGAATTCTCATTCATTTCTTCCTTGGGTGCATCCCTCCTCTCCCTCCCTTTGCAACTCCTCCCCCCTTCCTCCCACAGACACGTACTTTTTGCTTACTCTGGGAGGAAGTGTTGTGCTAGGTGCTGGGGATATAGAACAAAAAGCACAAGCCCTGGCCCTAAGAAGCAAAAGAGACAAGGGAGCAGCTGTGATCAGTGTAGTGAGAGAGAGATGTAGTGAGAGGGGCCATGAGGGCATGGGATGGGGTGGTGACAGTGTGGAGATAGGGAGGGCACTTGGAAGGAGCTGATGCTTGTGTTGAGGCGTGACAAAGGGTCAGAGAGATATTCTGGGCTGACCAGACGTGGGAAAGGTCCAAGCCCAGGAGAGCATGCTAATTTGAGAAATATTTGGGGAAGGCTGGAGTGTGGGATGTAAAGGCTGGACAGGTTGGCAGGGCATCAGATAATGGAGGATTTAACAGGTCATATTAGGGAGTTGACGCTTTATTCTGAGCATAATGGAGACCATAGAAAGACTTTATCCAGGGGAGTGACTTGGTCAGAATTGCCATTTAGAAAGACACCCATTAACTTCACACCCTATGACATTAGGCTCCAGGATCCATAAATTTGCCCGATGCCTCTGAGTGCCTTTCCTCCCTGAATCTGAGAGCTCATGACTCGGTCATGGTGTAAAGTCAGGGTGGGCAACTGGGTGGGAAGGGAGTAAGCGAGCAGCTAGGCATCAGAACAGAAAGTGCAGGGAGAAATAAGGTTGCACCGGGGTCTGCCTCTGGTGGGTAACAGTCTCTGTACCAGAAATGCTGATGATCAGAGAGAGCTCTGAGGATCTGAGGCATCACTGGGACCTTTCTGTTTCATTCCCTTTGAATTTTCATCATCCCCATTTTACATGCAAGGATACCAAATTTCCTGGAGTCATTATGAATCAGAACAGGGATTTCAGCTCCCCAGCTCCTGTTCTGTCATCACCACTCCTGCCCACTAGGGGGCGGTGCGTGGGGAAATCAACAGTGAAGGGAAGGAAATCACCCCTATGAATCATTCTATTCCTTCTAGTTCTACTATTTTTCATTAAAAAAAATGAATAAAAAAATGGTGGTCGTGACCAATAGATCAATTCCATGGCCAATAGTCGGTTATAGCACATAGGGTGATAGAACTTGGGCAATAAAATGAGGGCAGGGTCATGGGTGAGGCACTCTTTCTCCATCCAAAATGACTTAATTTGTTCTGTTTTAAGGAACATGTGTTTTTACCAGAATAGTCGCAAAAATTTACGGTGCAAAATGGAATAATTTATTACAGGATTGATTAGTTCGAGTCCTCTGTGGAGCATCCACACTGGGCGAATCCTGGGGTATATTGAAGTGAATAAAAAGATAATGAATGCTTCTCTTGGGGCACATGTAATCTAAGGTGGAAAGAAACCCATAAAGAATGATTTGCGATACAATACCGTAAGTGCTAAGTAAGGGAATGGGTGTGTAACGGGAGCACAGAGCAGGGCACCAAACCCAGTCCAGGCGAGTTTCTGGAAAACAGGATGTCTTAGAATTGTCCAGAAGGCGTAGGTGATAGGTGGGAGGAGGTAGCGGTGGAGGAGGACCAAGGATCCAAGCAGGGCAGTTGTGCAGTGTGACACTCCGTACTGTGCACGTGTCAGATGGGAGGTGAGGTGGTGAGAGATGCATCGAGGGGAGAGGAAGGCAAGGACTAGACGCAGGACTTTTCCTCCAGGTGGTAGGGAGCGATAGTAAAAGATGGAAAAGCTCTTATTTTTTCTTGGGAACTATAAAATAATCTCTGCACCCTCATCTGTCTTTAAGGTTAACTTCACCTGATCGGTGAACAGTGATTTGGCATTGTGTTAATTTGCATTAACGTGACTGCTGGTGAAGTTAAACATTTTTCATGTGTTTATTAGCTCTATGTACTTACTCATGTCCTCTGTCCATTTTCCTCCTGGGACTGTAATATGTTTCTTATCGATTTATATGAGCTCTTTCTATATTAAGGATAACAAACCTTTGTCATATCTATTGCATATATTTTCCCCAGCCATTGTCATTTGCCTTCTAGTTTTGTTTAGAATGTTCCTGACTCCAGGAGTTTTA